GTGAAATCCGCAAAGTTGTATTTCATTCGCGCGCCGAGATATCCAGCCAAAACAATTTGAACCTGTGACGTCAATTATGTGAGTTGCTCTGATCCGCGCATATAGAAATACAGGTAAAATGAGCGTGCGGGCTGACTAAATTACTAATTAAGAATACATAAACAATTTACAATACTAACAAGCCTATAACCAATGGAGAGGAGACTTTTTATGACCGGTTGAAAAAAGAATTATCACCCTACGATAACCATGAGCCGAGATACACCTGAAATAAGATTGAAGTCACACAGAAAGGCATGTAAATTATGTATATTTATAGCTCCCAACGTAACACCTAGCAACTCCCTGTATCGTACCACAGTTGATATATCAACATGTCATATCAACACAACACGGTCCTAATAAAAACGGATCGGGTAGGTATGAAATGCATGTCTTCATTCCAGTTGGACAAGCACCAAGCACCAAGCTTTTAAGTTCTAACTCACTATGTGATTGTATCACGTTGTGACACCCACGGTCGTTTCACTAGGTATCGTACTGACGATACAGGGGGAGCCGCGCACTTCGTGCGCGGCGGGTCATACAACGTATGACAACTATGTGACACTATTTATAACGTAAGCAAGATTTGCAACTATTACACCAAGCAATATTATACCAAGCATAGCAGACGAACACATCCACATTCGTTACGCTTTACACTCAAGTCACAGCAAACTAAAACGGTAAATTATAAATGAGTGTACAACTAAAGGCCGGTACACGCGCAGTGCCAAACCGCACGTGCGCACTCAGATAGGACTAGAGGCGCCAAGGGCCAGCTAGTAAAATGTATTCTACTACATCATACATTCAATCGATTTTTAGATCTTCTGTTGCGGCGCTTTGCTGTCTTAAAAGTTTGTTCATTTGAAAGCTTTTTCACTATAAATATAAAGAGTGTCTTTATACATCCAATTATAAGCCACCCATATTTTAAACTGTACTTTCATCTGGCATTTATATTTGGTTTTTGATCAATTATCATATTTCAATGTACAAATAAGATACTATAATTCATTGAGATAATAATTCTGTGAATCGGAAGGAGTTCCCGGAAAAGGATGATGTTGAGAAAAGGAACAGGCTATACCGTTTCGCTGCTTACAGAACATTCTTTCGGATACTGGAGCTGAACGGACTGGGTAAAGGACGGCGCTTCAGACTACCACAGTGTGTGGTGAGAGTTATCCGCAGAATGTACCCCAGCAAGTCAGGCAAATATGTCGGATTTAAATCACTAAACGAACAAGTTTCGGAAAAGCTAAACATATATTAAGTGGGTCGGTCAACATATCTTCTATTTCATATGTATTGTGCTCTGCCAATTGCAACACTTGATTTGATTGTGCTCTGCCGATTGCAACACTTGATTTTATATTGTTCGTCGCACATTTCATATGAAAATACATTCCTTTATTCTTGTATAAAGAAATATGCCGATTTTTAATTGTGTCCATATCGGGTTTCAAACAAGTCAAAACAAAATAGCAGTTTGTGGTTTAGTTAGCGGATGCTACTTATCTTAGCTATTTATAAATAGAAATACCTACTACAACTACAAGAAAGCCTTTCTGAGTTACATTTAACTATTAAAGAGAATTATTCGTAACTTAGACTAATTCAGTGCAACCAAAGATACCGCTCTCGCAAACGCCAAAGGTAACACGACGTAAGTAAAACAGAACAGGACAAAATGTTGACACGAGCGAAGGGTGTGCGCGCACGTTGGTCTTCACACATAATTGACGTCACAGCCCAAAATTGCTATCAGCCAATAGGAGCGCGGCGTGATATTGCACGAATTATCGATTTCACAGTCCGGCGTATTTTTTGATTCTACACACTTTCACAGGACTTAAACGCGAATATTTGAAAGTAAATTCTAAGGTCCCCTCATCCTTTAATGCACGTATTGGACACCAAATTGACTTCATTAAAGAGGACAACCTGAGCCTGACGACTACATTCCCCATGACCTGCCAACTAGAAACTCTAGGGAATAAAGTACGAACAGTTATAAGAGACCCTTTTTGGACATACTTATTAAAAATCAGATTCACGTACTAAATGGACGAACACTACGTGACTTGTTAATGTTTGGCGATGTATACAAAAAAGTGGAGCCAGCCCTGTCATGTTGACTACTTCATCATATCTCCAAACTGCAATAGATATATTTGCCTTATGTCAGTCCAATCTTTCACATGATCACGTGACCGCGCACTTACGCAAAATAGCTGATAAATGCCTGAAAAAAAAACGAAGCACTCCTCTGTCAATAATAATAATATGTAATAACTAGTTTACCCGTGTGTTATCCGTGCGTTATTAAATGTGTACGGTGCATAAACTTAAAGTATCGTTAAATTACCGAATCACAAGCACCCATAAGTACTGGTAAACTGGTAAGACCTTTCTAAACACGCCTTGTCCTTAATCAAGATTCAAGCAAGAGACAATATTATCGTTTGAGTGGGAGCATCATGGATAATAATTGATTGATTGACAATGCCAACCTTGCAGAACATAATATTCCTAACCTTTTACAGCTTTTAGTTTTACTGTGTCCAACATTCAGTTACATAATTGCTCTCTTACAACTTTACAAGAAAATTACCTAGTTGCGATGCCATACACCTTAATAAATTCCTGTTGCCCAAGCAAAGATTCTCGGCTTCCCCCTTTAATCACATAATCCCTTATAAAACAATGAGTGAACAATAAGCGCTCGCGCTACAAGGAAATGGAATAAAAATAGAACAGCTATTCGGTAAATCTCGTAAGCAATTAGGCTGTCCCATTCCATACTTCTACAGCTAATGGCAATGCTATTGTCACTGGTTCACTTAATTGAACAGTTCGTTTGCTTTTAGTTTATCAGAGAGAAATCCAAATAGCACTTATAGGTCAAAATGTCTATTAGCACCCATACTCATAGAGGTCTGAGGACGGTTTTTTGTATCTGTCATTAAATGTTTTATATTATATAATTAATGAAAGGCCGGGGTCACAGGGAGGAGGATAATAGTTGACCATTGTTAATGATCTGACCCGGCGCGCGCTACTTCGAAGAAATTTAGAAGAGTAACATTCTATAAGTATATTCGTCAAGGATAATAGTAGTAGTATTTTTGCCTTTTTTTTGTGTTTTTGATGGTCAGTTTTTATTATCGCATCAAAAAAAATCCCGTCATACAAACAGGCACTTAGCCAGGGGGGCTAGGAGTAGGGGGCTGCATAAATCCAAATTTATGCACGTTCGCGTTCCAACACCGTTACCATGGTTACCATTTAACTAGCTTCCCATTTCTCATCTAATTTGCACGTGGACTGTCGTACATACAAAAAGAATCTTTCGAATTATAATATAGGAGTAGAAAGCTTGTATGTTGTAGGTTTAAAACCTACCAGGACGCGCGCCGAGTTGGACTCGTCGACGGTCCTAATAATTGGAACAAATATTTTAAGAGTATCACCCGTTAATAAAAAGCCCGTGGTTGGTGGTAACAGAGATGAAGCTAGTAGGTGTTTATTGTATGTTTACAACCTACCAGGACGCGCGCCGAGTTGGACTCGTCGACGGTCCTAATAATTGGAACAGATATTTTACGAGTATCACCCGTTAAGGTTTTTATAGCATCAAAAAATATCCGTCATAATCGAGTATACAGTTGACGGATGTTACTCGTCTAAATTTCTTCGAAGTAGCGCGCGCCGCTTTCTTCTCGAGATGGCACTTATATTACTGGGCCGCGCTCAGCCTGTCATTCCGCCGAATCTCTATTATGTTTATAAACATAATAGCCTGAGGTCCCCAGGTAAGATGGCACGTGCCATGCTACGAAGTACAAAGTAGCGCGCGCCGGGCCAGATCATTAACAATGGTCAAGTATACAGCCCATTAAAATGTAGCTTGCACTGAACACAACGTACCTAATTATATTACCACAAAACCGATCAAAATGATGTTAAAAGTAAAACAATCATTGCACGTGCAAATAGATTGCACGTGCAAATAGATTGCACGTGCAATCTATTTGCACGTGAGCTGTCGTACATGACAGTGTACAAAGATAATTCTCTGAATATTATAAGTAAGACTAGAAAACCCGTGGTCACAGGGTGGAACCTAATACTAATAGTATTCTTTGGAAGTCAGTTTTAATCGTGTCAAAAAGTATTCATCCCCACCGAAGATACGGCCAAACAAAATGTTACTCGTACTAAACACAGCGTAATATCAACAAAACCGATTAAAATGACGTTAAAACAATCATTGCACGTGGGTGTAACAATCCTCGTTACTATGGTTACTACGCAAGTTCATATTTTTCGTTTGATTTGCACGTGGGCGGTCGTACAGACGACAAAGATAATTCTCTGAATTATAAGTAAGATTTTATTGTTTTTTAAAATCAGGACATTATTTTTGAAACACCCTGTATTGCACGGTAGCATATATTGTAATGCGCAATAGTCGATAAAGACACCGTGGTTGTTATAAAAAGGAGATGATGAAGCAAGTATTCAGGAACATAGGCATGACACAAAGAAGAATGGTCGGTGGGGATTGGGACCCACTTAAATCACCTTAACACAGTGCCCCTCAGTAATCCATCCTGTCACTCAAATAATTTGTTATATAGTAGTGTTGAAAGTATTAAAACAGACAAAATAAAACACCGATATATTAACTTAAATTTCTGTCATAACACAGACAACCTTTGGATGAATTGTCACAAAAAATCTAAGAAATTAGGATTCAGATCAGAAGAATATCCTGGCAATATGATTTTTTAATTAGATTTTTTTACTACGTACACGAAATTTCATGCATTGTTTTTCTTTCATAATATTACATATATTCATGAGCAGCAATCAGGAATAATCATCGAGCAGGCATCGGTCATTATAGATGTCCATTTTCATTATCAAAAATATTAAAAATCGAGTGATTTCAATCAACGATTTTGGCATCGTGAACATATTAATTAAGCATCTTTAAGTAGCTTTTCCAGAGTTCTGATGTAATCAGATATTATGTTCTGACTGTTACCGGCCAGAATGGGGTGGATAACTGATAAGGGCAAGATACTGATAACGTAATAATATGTACACAATCTCTAATACTCCTATATAACTACGTTTACATTTTATAATGCACGTGTAACGCAGTTTTATTTAGCGTTTTGCTATTTTCTGATTAATACCGGGTCCACGGTAACAGTACCACGGCCACAGCTAGCTGTTACCACGGTAACAGCTAGCTGTTACCACGGCCACAGCTAGCTGTTACCACGGCCACAGCTAGCTGTTACCACGGCCACAGCTAGCTGTTACCACGGCCACAGCTAGCTGTTACCACGGCCACAGTACCACGGCCACAGCTAGCTGTTACCACGGCCACAGTACCACGGCCACAGCTAGCTGTACCTAGGCCCAAGGTTATTGGACCACAGTAGAATAGCGTAAACATGGTTTTGAAACCACGCTAAACTTTCATTTTCGCTCCAAATATAAAATAAAATCATACTGTAATTCACCGTAAAATATTGTTAAACTTTAACAATTTGATTTGTGACGTTTCACAGCGTATTCCTCGAATCTAGATAAAATCAAAGTTACATTAACTGCCACAAAAGTTAAATTTACAAAACGCAGTCCCTTACAAAAACTCATACTTCTCAACTTCAATATGTTTCGTTTAGTATTTAGGTAACAAATAACTGAAAAATTAGAAAAACCTCATCAGATTGTGTTTCAAGTATCACCAGCAAAAAATCCTGTCGTAAACGCACTAAAATCTCTGTTATTTGGGAGTGATCCAATAAAACAAATTGCTACTAATTCTTACATCTTTCAATTGAGTAGAAATTACGTCTTGAATGTGGAAAATGTATTTGAACGAGCTGTACAATTTGGAACGCCACTTTTACAAGCTTCAACTTCTGCTTTTATTTTATGAAATCAACTATTATTATAGTATATATGTATATATCTCATTCTCAACAACTAATAAACCTAAACACTGTCAAGTCTAACAATGGCAGTAATTCTAAAACAATCTGTAGCCTCATCAAACTAGTCAATGTTTGACAATTGTTGTCATGGCCTTATAGTTATATGTATGTACTAGAACCTTACTGCATTCAGGGTAAAAGGGATTCGTCATGATTCAAGAGGCGTTAGTTATATTTTTTATTAAGATCATTATTCAAAGAACAAAGATTAGATTTTACTCGAATAATATAGACTCACACTCTAATAATCTTAATTGACTTAATAAACATAATTACTTTAATAACCTTACACCCAGACTATAAATCCAACATTCCATAATCCATACCAATCTTCAGATGACAAGAGAATTAACCCACATACATAATTATATCAAAAACATAATTATCAAAACAAACTTCCTTCAGCTGCATAGTTCGTATAACATCAAGTCACCTTCGTTTTAAAAATCAATAAATTACAAAAAACTTTTTATACTCTCGAAGAAATCGAATAGTTCGGGACTCTGAGAGCCCTTGCTGAATCAAGTCTGTTAATATCCTGTGAACTTGTCACGTGCGAACTTGTCACGTGTGAACTTGTCACGTGCAAACTTGTCACGTGTGAACTTGTCACGTGCTAGAGAGAGATCTTGTCGGAGAGAACGAGGCTAACTGTTACTTAGTACACCAATCTGAAATAAATTAGGGTTAGAATATTTAAAATATGTTTGAGAATTTGCTCTGGGGAACGTGGTCATGTTCATGTTAGTATTATGAATTTATTAAATTCATTTAAGAAATACGTCAATAAGATTCGACAGAAAAATTCAGAGCTGAACAGCGAACAAATATTTTTTTAAAAATATTAATTACTTTTTATAAATTTTTGAGTATTTTATAAGCCGTAGTACATACATATTGCATT